GCGCGTGACCTATCAATGTGTCATCAGCAGCCGGTCTCGTTTGGGTAGCACGACAAAACAGATTTTATGGACAATTGTGCCCAATGAATTGAGGTCATTGCTTGGTGGCTATAAGGAGGAGAGTCAATGCCATCGACAACAAGGCGCCCGTTGTGGCGTCAAGCCCGTGACTCCGTGCAGTAGGTTCGCTTTCTTGACGGCGACGATAAGACCGAACTGTCAATTACTGCTGTCAACGATTATCGAGAAGCCAAGCTTTCTCGAAGCATTCAACGTATCTCCGCGGAGACACCTGCGATCGGCCGTCTACGATAGACAACTGGGGTAATCGCAGGGATGACCCAATGGACGACGGGTGACGACGATAGGAAAAGCAAAAAGTTAAACGTCGATGATGACAAGAGTGGGATTCGAACCCACGCCCCTTTCGAGACTGCAATGCATTCCTGTTGATGCAGGAACAAGTTGAGGAAACTTGAGTGCAGCGCCTTGGACCGCTCGGCCATCTTGCCTTTCGAATATTTGTTTTTTTGGCCTTAGATCACTGACTAGGTAAAGCACAGAAGTGTCGAAGCATCTATCGAGCTGTAGCGTGTCTTGTGTCGCCCCTGAGATTGCTCATCCAAAGTCGCTGCAGGATGACAGGAAATAAAAGGGAGGCTGAATGGCACTTGCTTCATTTTCAGTATGGTTTGTGAGCAGTGAGATTACTCGCGGCAACACTGATCCCTATGTATGCTCGCATGGCAGGGGATCTGTGGACTGATTGTAAAGGCACGATGGCTACGAGTCGCTCCACAGAAGACGGACGGAGCTCGGCAATCGTGTTAACCGTTCACGACTACCCGGAAGTTCATCCTCGCTTTTTTCTTGTCCTTTGCATAATTCTTACGGCATGATTGGGCTTGCCAGTCATTGAGCGATGATGTAGTCTTGGTGCACCCGGCACCGTTCGCCGGCTCTGTGGAGAAAGTGAGCTCGAGGACGACTCAGCCTCCACCCCTGTCTTTTTGGTCCTGGCCATGAGATCGATAATTTAGCGTTCGCTTGAGCTCAACTGACGGATTGGTGAGGCCTCATCTACAGCAACGTACGGGAAAAGCTTATGGACGAGAAAGTGCAACTTTACAATCCAATTGATGCTTAAGGGGTTGACAGCAACATGATGCTCTTCTGCTTTAGCAAACGTCAAGGATGGAGCGCAGCCTTCTGTTTTGTCCTTCTTTCGTTTTTCAGAATATGCCATGCGAAACCGTCAGGAGCTTCTGTGCAGTACTGCCAGGGCGACGACGTCAATGGCATTGACACTTGTCTTGCGGTCGTTTCCACGCCTCACAATGCCACAAGCAAGACAAACGATTTGTATCTGAGGCTATCAGCTGCTTTTCCTGAACGCTTGGGCTGGGCGGCGTTTGGAACCGGTGCAGCAATGGAGGGCTCGTTGATGTTCATCATGTACCCTGGGAAAAACGAGAATGGTAGGAGTCGCACTAGATAATCGAGCAAGACATCGTCTGACAAACATATCAGATATCACCGTGAGCTTGCGGACGACTCAGGTTGAGCACGATGCGCCAAAACATGAAGATTTTTTGCCCAAGTATGAAGTCAAGCAGATATCCATTGTCGACC